CAGCAGTCGTCAAGTATATAAATTTGGGGAGTTTTTTGTTTTTAATTTCCATTGCACACATCTTCTACTTGTTACATATCCACCTATCTGTTGAAGTCTTTGTATAGCCCTAATTTTGAATTGAGATCTTTTTTCATGGATAATTTGTAAAATTAGTTGCTATATATTTTAGCTCTTAATCTTGTGTTATTGTTTGTCTTAATTTAAGATTCATGTCCCCACTTCAAGTTGAAGTTAAAACTGTTTCCTTCTTGCTTTGTTTTAAAGCCCTGACACTTTTTTTCAAAACAGAGTTCTACTCCATCAGCTACAAAGGCCAAAGGGACGAGAGTAGTTTCTCCTCGGTCCAAGACAAGTCGCAAAAAGTCGAAGAAAATGACCAAGGACTCTAACTATGCTAAGACTTCAAAAGCCTTGCCTTCTGGTGATGGGAAAAAGAAATGGACTACTTTGGTGCACAACGGTGTCACTTTTCCACCTTCGTATAAACCTCATGGGATTAAGATTTTATATAAGGGGAAGCCAGTCAGCTTATCTCCTGAGCAAGAAGAGGTCACCTCTCCATCCATGCCTTTAGTGTTTTTGATAAACTATAGTCCTTCTTCTTAGTAGATATCTTGAAGTGTTTTCTCTGATGCTGATGATTTGCTTCTCTTTACTGGTAGGTTGCAACCATGTTTGCTGTGATGAGGGAGACAGAATATTATAATAAACCTAAATTTAGGGAGAATTTCTGGAATGATTGGGGAAGACTACTTGGAAAGAATCATGTGATACAGAACCTGGATGATTGTGACTTTACCCCCATATATGACTGGAATTTGAAACAGAAGGAGGTAAAAGTCAAAGACTCTTAAGAATTTAGTTTATGACACCACTTTGGTGTAAAAGCTCTAGTTTTTGTATTTGAATTTATTCTTTGACAACGTGCAGGAGAAGAAAGGTTCGAAAGAGCAAAAATCGAAACAGGGGGAGAAATATATGTGGGCTATTGTCGACGGTGTCAAAGAGAAGGTAGGTTTCCCATCACATGTAAATGTTCTCGATTCTTTGTTTGGAATAGGCTTACTTACTGTGATGGTTGTCTCTCTTTTCAGGTTGGCAATTTTAAAATTGAACCTCCTGCGCTATTTCGAGGTCGAGGAGAACATCCCAAGGTCGTTACATTTTTCATTAACAAGTTGCATTTTGGGGGCTTGAATTGAAGTGCTACTATTGTGTGTTTTGCTTTCATAAACCCAGTGTATGGCTTCATTTTACAGATTGGAAAATTGAAAAGGCGTATCCATCCTTGTGACATCACTTTAAATATCGGTGAAGATGCTCCTATCCCTGAATGCCCCATCCCTGGTGAAAGGTTGTATATTCTTCCATGGTTTTTCCGGAAAAAAATGTTATAGTCTCGTTGCTAAGAATGGTAGATGCGACTTTGCAGATGGAAAGATATAAAGCATGACAACACAGTCACATGGCTAGCTATATGGAATGATCCTATTAACAAAAGATACAAGTATGTTTCTCTGTCAGCTAGCAGTTCTCAAAAAGGCCAACGCGACAAGGAGAAGTACGAGAAAGCTAGGAAGCTTAAGGTAGTCAGTTTTCATTTTGTTTTTGATTAAGTCAATCACACTTTCCTTTTAGTAGCTATATATTTTTTGTTTTGAGTGTTCAGGACTACATCGACAGTATAAGAGCAACTTATACCAAGAATTTTACGGCTAAGGATGTTTCAAAGCGACAAATAGCTGTGGCTACCTATCTCATTGATAAATTGGCACTTAGAGCTGGTAATGAGAAGGTAAGCTGTAAGATTTATTTGAAACAAAGAGAATGATTGCAAGCATGCAAACTTTTTCCAAACAAATTCTCATCTTTTGTTGTTGTGTGTGTTCTGTGTAGGATGATGATGAGGCGGAAACTGTTGGTTGCTGTACATTAAAAGTAGAAAATGTGGAGTGTATTCCTCCAAATAAGTTAAAGGTATCAATTAGATATCAACAGCATACTCGTTGAAGTTAATATTATGCCATCTCCTCTTGATCTTAAGAGGTTTGTTAGTCTCACAAACTTTTCCTTATTTTTCGAATATGTATTTAGTTTGACTTCCTTGGTAAAGATTCAATCCGATATGTGAATACGATCGAGGTTGAACCTCCTGTTTACAAAGCCATTGGACAGTTTCGGGCTGGTGAGTTATGGACTTGACTTTGTTGTGTTGCACAATTAATCGTTTCTCATGGTTTAACCAATGATAGGTTACTCTTTTTTTCTAATCATCCAGGTAAATCCAATTCAGACGATCTTTTTGATGAGTTAGACACAAGCAAACTAAATGCTCATCTTAAGGAGCTTATGCCTGACCTCACAGCTAAAGTATTCCGTACTTTCAATGCATCCATCACGTTGGATGTAATGGTATGATCGAAACCTTAATCCTCTCGATTTTTAAAGTTTACTTCCAACACATTCGCTCTACGAAATTATCCATATGTTGCTATACAAGTATCCATACACCATGAAGTTCAAGGAATTATAGTATACAAGTCATATATAGTTCCAAATTAAGATTTGATCTCCTTACTTGTTTGTTACAATTTTCACCGCTCTGTTCTATTTGGATGGTGTGAAGTTGAGGCAAGAAACCAGAGATGGAGATGTTGACCAGAAAGTAGTAGTTTATGAGCAAGCAAACAAGGAGGTACGTGAGATTGTTCACTCTATGGTGGATTCTAGTTCCGAGAAAGCAAAACATTGAGTGCACACCCATTTCGATTAATGACACTCTCGAATGTCGCAGGTTGCCATAATTTGTAATCACCAGCGTAGTGTTCCAAAGTCTCACGGTGCACAAATCGGTAGATTGGCTGGAAAAATAGAACAACTCAGGGTAAATCTCCTCCTATACATAGAAGAAGATTTGATCACCCAAAATATGAAACTTAGGAAGAGTTGTTTTGATTTTCATCTGGAATTTTATCATTTTTTTGGCCTTGTGTATGATTGTGATACAGGAGGGTCTTAAAGAACTTAAAACCAATCTCGAGAGGGCTAGAAAGGGAAAAGCTCCATTGGAAGGTGCAGATGGAAAGAAAACGAGGAACATAACTCCAGAGGCGTAAATACTAAAACCTTTGATCCTCTTACTTAGACAAAGACTTGAATAAAACAAGAGAGTAGAGAGATAGTATCTCTCTTATTATAACTAACTGTGGTTGTGTGAAATGCAGGTGGGAGAAGAAGATAGCTCAACAGATGAAGAAGACGGAGAAGCTGGAAGGAGACATGAAGTCAAAGGAGGAATTCAAAACTGTGTCGCTGGGCACGTCTAAGATGAATTACTTGGATCCTAGGATCACGGTCTCGTGGTGCAAACGTCATGAAGTACCCATTCAAAAGGTAAAACAAACAAAATGATTCTTATAAAAAATGATCTACTAGTGGGAAACAAAAGAACAAGACCTTTTATGAAGTTTAATGGCTTTGGTTTTTTTTGTATAGATGTTTAGCAAGACTCTTCTGGAGAAATTTACGTGGGCAATGGACGTTGAACCTGACTTCAGATTCTGATGGCAGAGGCTGAGAGTTTCTACACTCTTAGTATGCAATTAACACGTATATGTATTTTTTTAATTAGCCTAATGAGTTGTATCTATCTACTATCCATTTAGT